CTGTTGCTATATTGCAAAGATACGGACCTCCAGAGGGGGTCTGCCAGCCGCAGCGCTTACACTCTACATCATCTGCTGCAGACCTGCAAACTAGCAATATAGCATCTCCCTGCAGCGAGATCAGATAGCTAGTTGGAAGCCCGAGAATATAGGCAGTCCTAGCAAGAGAACGATATTCCTCCGTCCTTGCTACTTTTGACTATTCTCGCTACCTCGAAAAGATTTTTTTCTCTCTCCTTTACTTCCAGTGTTGACTGGATCGATCTAAACAGGTGTGGTTCTCTTTTCCCCTTTTCCTTTCGCCCAGATATTCTGTTCTGTTGTTTTCTTTCTATACCGTGCTAGCTGTGCTCGATTTCGGCTGAGGATGGGTGCTAATATTCAAAGTTGTCCCAATAGCCCAGCCTTCTCACCTCCGTGACGTTGACGACTGACTCGACCTGTTCCGAGAACAAGCTCTCTACTCATCTGGCGGGATAACAGACAACTTCCGCGAAATGGCATACCCTGCAGCTGCTCCAGCATCTCCCTCGGCAGCTGCTGGGCCTTCGACAGCTCGTTACACCGACACCCCACCTCCAGGCCAATTTCCACTTTCCAAGCGAGATAAGCGACGCAATGCCCTCCAAGACAGAGTGAACGAGCTGAAGGAGGCCTTCGGGAATAACAGAGACTATCATTTCCGGCAGCGAGTGCATGAGCTTCAGAATGAGATGGCGTTGATCTCAAACGCACAGGTCTATGAGGACTGGCCCATCAGTGACTCCCCCGAAGATGTTGCAAAGCAATTGACACAGTTAGCTGCCAGTGGGCAGATAACTTCAGACACTCCAATCTCCGGGAGATGGTATTCGAACTTCGTTCAGGAGATAAATCGAAGCAAGGAGGAGAGAGATGCAGAATTGGCTGTTATGATGGTAAGTTCCGGCACTTTTTGTGACTGGAAAGTTCTTTTCCTTTCCCTTTCTTTGACTGGATGTTTTATAAAAGAGGTTCCATTTTCTGATGTCACTTTCAACGTTTTCCTCCCCCCTCTTATAGAACCGACACCGTGACTCTTTGAACCGCATCAAACAAGAACGGGATTTCCGAATCCAGCTCGCTGCCGAAGAGTACAAGCGGCTCACAGAAACCATCCGTGAACGACTTGTCCAATCAGTCTCCCACCGAAAAAACCGGCTTATGCGAGAGAAAGAACAGCTGGATGTTGCTGACACCAACGCGTTGCTTCTCCACCCTAATCAGTTCAGCATAGCCAACCCCGGCAGTCCTGGTGGGATCCAGGGCAATCGAAAAACAAGACACACGCGACATAGACTTGACGCCGACGACATCGGAAGCGGCATCATGAGCGAACCAATCAATAAACGTAAGCGCAAGGCGATAGACGAAGAGTTCAGCGCGTCTCCAAACCATGACGGCCTGTCGACCCCCGCAGACCGAGCCAAGTCGAGAATGTCCCAGCAGCAGAATGCCCCGGCGTACAATATCCTATCTTTGTTCACCGAGAAAGAATTGGCCATGCACAGCAATGCCGCCCACGTCGCTGCGGTCCACTTCCTTTCTGCTTCCAAGCGTGCCAAACAAGCGAACCAGAACGCAAACGGACAGTCTGTAGACAAGGACGAGGCATCTGGTTCCGGCGATGCAAGCAGCCAGGAAGACGCTACGCCTGGAGCAGCCGATATGGAGCGCTCGGCCAGCCAGAACGTCCACGCAACTCGTTCCACCCGCACCAATGGCACAGGTGCCTTGAACCTTCTCGGAGAATTAACGGAAAAGAACTCTACCCGCACAAACCTTCCCTACTACATCCTGGGCAGCTATCACCAGCGACCGAATGGATCATCAAGCGCGCCAACTCCACCCGCTCTGATGCCGGAGGAGATTGAAGACGACCTTGCTCGTATCGAACGACTGAGGAACACAAAGCCACCGGGGTGGATAGATACTCGTTTGGTCAATAGCCTATTGACCACTCTCATGGGCTCGGATGACGAGCAGCCTCCCGCTCGCAACAACAACAATCCCCCGAAAGTTGGCTCTTTGCACCCCGATTTCCCTCCAACCATGGACGTTCATCTAGTCCGGGCAAATCCTCGGAAATCGTGATTTTTTGTTTTTTTCCCATGGCTAACGGAGTACTTCACGATCGAATATGGCGGGGATATACCAGGGAGCTTTCTTTCTTCTTCCTTTCTTTGTTCTCCCTCCCGCCACCCACCCCCTTTTTCTCTTTCTCTCTTTCTTTATGGGCCGGCGGGCAAAACTCAAGTGTTATAGGCGTTGCACATACGAATCTCACTACAGGCGGAAATGTCCTTGTTTTTTTTTAATTCTCCATTTCGACTTCTGTCGCCTTTGCTCGCTTTTTTTTTTTTTCTTTTTTTGCCTTCGATTATGGGCATACACAAGGGCGCAGTTGGGTAGATCATTGGCTATATCTGCATGCTGTACTTGGAGTGGATGCCATGCCATGCGACACAGGAGGAAGATCACACAATGGGCGATTGTTTGTCGTTGAATATGGAACCGGTCGCTGTGGCTTTAGCCGTTCCAGAGCTGGCGTTGCGCGAGCCTTTTGTTTAAGCGATGGGACTTTGTATACCTTTCGACGTAATACCCTGCATGAAATTAATCAAGCACTTCTTTGTTGTTTCTCGGGTCCATGCCTTCTTCCGATTCTTCTTCTTTCTCTTCCTCGTGCCCACGCCCACCATGAGGATACTGATACTCTGGTTCTGCACGAACCCTGGTAGAGCTAGCGAGCGAGCGAGTTTCCTGCGCACTCTGTACGCCGGCCTCTGTATCCGGCGCGGGGCAGGTAGTAGTTATCAGCAACACCTAAGGCCCAGGGGGGATACATTTGCCGGCCCCGGCTACAAAGTATCAGGCTCGATATATATTGTGCAGTTTGACTCTAGCTCTTGGTTCCGCAGGCCAGAAGGGGCCGTGGTTGAGGCACAAACCCCAAGCGGCATCGATTCTCCAGCGGTCACTATGACTAGCTCGGGATGCTCCTTTAATATATCCTTCGCCTTCGAATGACGGCTCGCTTGTGTTAAGTCGCTCCTTGGCATATGCGCATGCGAGGCGTATGGATGCTTCTGAATGCAGCTTGCAAGGTGGCCTGCATGGGGAAGTAAGTGTACGGGGGGTAGCAAGAGGACAAACACCTATATATATATGTAGGGCATATATCGCCCTCCCTTTCACACACTCACCTCCTTCGAGTTTCCTCTGCAATCGATAGTACATCAGGCCCCGGTCCATTCCTCGCACTCTCCTCTGCATTAACCGCTGCTCATCTAGGCAATTGATCATGTCGGCTACTGCTACCACGACCACATCCGACCCCCAAGTCGTCCTCGAAAATGATGTTAACCACATACCCCGAGGCGACGTAGAAGCCCCGATGCAGTTTTTCGAGTATCCTGAAGACGGGTCGGAGCCATACAACCTCATGGAGGGCCATCTCAAGGGCGGAACCCAGCCCAACTACCCTCTAAGCACACGCACCATCTCCATAACCGACATCCGTGGCAAGGAATCTGAATACTCGCTTGCAAAACATGGCTTCCAGGGCGTATCGAACGTGCCCTCGGCCGCGGACCCGTCGTTCTGTGACGAGGAAAACATCAAGTCAGTCTGGTATCCCGAAGTCGAGAAATTCGTTGGCGAACTATTCCCCGAGGCCAAACGCATATTTATCTTCAACCACATTGTTCGCCGCTCTCAGCCTGGCGCTGAACACTCCCCGCTAATCAGTGCTCACATCGATCAAACCCTCACATCGACGAAGGAAGCGATAGGCCTCTTCTTCCCGCCCGAGGAAGTAGCAGAGCTTCTCAAGGATCGATACCGGGTGCTCAACATCTGGAGACCGATAAACGGTACGGTTCAGTCATACCCACTCGCCGTCGCTATGCCATCTTCGGTCCCGGATGACGACCTGGTGCGCATCGAGCTGCGGTATCCCCAGCATAAGAGCGAGACGCAGATGCTGAAGTACAGTCCAGCCCACAAATGGTACTATTGGTCTGGCATGACCAACGAGGACAGGCTAGCCTTCATGATCATGGACAGTAAGGAGGACGCAGTCGCCAGGCGGACAGCCCATGCTTCCTTTGCCGACCCCCGGACCCCGGCTGGCGCAAAGCCCCGTGAGAGCATTGAGACTCGAGTGTTTGTCTTCGGCTAGGCGCTTCTTCCCTGCGGCCAAACCACACATCTACCTTCTTGCTTGCCAACGTAGTCTTTGTATGCTGTTTTGAATATGAGCCCATTATTCTGCTTGTCTTCCTGCGTTGACGTCGGTCAAGATCGTGGCTGTCGTGTCACGTGGTAACAAATTAACTTAGTATGACTAAGCTGAATAAAGTTAACTTTGACTAAGCTGCATGATATAAAAAGCTTCTTGATCTATCAACATCAACATCAACATCAACGACAGAAGATTGCATCTTTGTGTTGGGAGATATCAGTCGATAAAGACCTAGTACGAGAAACGGGTTGGCATTACACTAGTGGCATCAACTGCTCCGATTTACAGCACTATTAATGTGAACTTACTAGGATAATAATGTATTTGTAGGTATAATAATAGATAAATGGATTAGTGCTTGTAGTCAAATCAATACTGCAGCCATGTGGTGAGATGCTATAGATATATGGTCAACTCAAACTGCATTACTATGTTGTCCATAACACAAACCTCAATAAAAGCGCATTAAGACTAGAGATATATGAAACCACCCATTCCCCTGTAGAAAAATTCTTCAAAATAATATAGTCAAAAACCAAAGAATACTAAAGACACAAAAAAAGAAATATAAAAGGAATGTTATTTTGAGATGTCTAGTAGGACGGGAGAACTATTAACGGTCTAGCTAGACCTAAAAAGAAAACAAGGCATCGACAAAGACATGAGATAAATAATAAACATATAAGAAATTGGCGAGCTTTGTCAGGCAATTATTCACCTCTAAATGTTAGGTAATCTAGAGAGCGAACTGGATCAGACCGACCATAGCAGTAATGCCCATCATGACCCATTGAGACAGGAAGGCCTCAGCGCTAGAAGCAGCACCAATGTAGGGCTCGGTGGTAGATGTTGGGTGTGGAACACCACCTGTAGGAGAGACGGTCATGAAGCCAGTGCTGCCGTATGGTGGGGCAGGAGCAGGCGCGCCGCCAGGAGAACCGCCAGGAGCCGGAGTTGGGACCGAACCGCCTTCCGATGTGGGAACGGCAGGAACAGGGTATGGGGCCTGGCTGGGAGCACCGGGTGTAGGAGTGGCGAAGGTAATCGAGGGAACGACAATCGTCGATGGGGGAACAGTGTGGTTTCCAGTCATAGTAGGTGTGATTGTAAGGGTGACCGCTGGAGGAGCTGGGCCACTTGGAGCGGGAGTTGGGGCAATGGGCATGCCTGGTGGGAGGTGGTCGACGAGGCCAGGGTTCTGAGGAACGTAAGTGACGCAGATACCAATGAAGAAGGAAAGTGCGACCTGGGTCTCCGCCTCATCTTTTGACCAAGAGCGGATACAGTCGATAACCTTCTGAGCGAACTCCTGAGACGGGCAGAGACAGGTGATATGGCTGTTGGAATCGCACTTGGGGATGGTAAACCAGGTCATCATACATCTGGGAACGACTGGTGGATAAGGAGCGGGAGCACCTGGCTGTCCGGGTTGACCTGGCTGGCCTGGCTGTCCGGGTTGACCTGGCTGGCCTGGCTGGCCTGGCTGTCCGGGTTGACCTGGCTGGCCTGGCTGTCCGGGTTGACCTGGCTGGCCTGGCTGTCCGGGTTGACCTGGCTGACCTGGCTGGCCTGGCTGACCGGGCTGACCTGGCTGACCTGGCTGACCTGGCTGTTCTGGCTGACCTGGCTGGCCTGGTTGACCTGGCTGGCCTGGCTGGCCTGGTTGACCGGGCTGTCCAGGAATTGCGGTGGTCGTGACAGGGCAGACAGTTGTGGTGACAGGAATCGTAATAACTGAAGTGGAGCCAGTTGGGCAGTCGGGAACTTCTGGCGGGCAGCTGGTGACGGTCATGGTAGAAGTAGTGTAAATGGTGGAAATGGACTGAGAGGTCCAGGTGGTAGGAGCAGGAGAACTTGGGACAGTAGTTTGACCGGGGATACCTCCACTGCTAGTTGGGAAACCGCCGCTGGGGGTAGTGTAGGGTAAGCTGGTGCCTGGAACGGTCGTGTATCCGGAAGTTGGCATGCTGTATGAAGATGGCATTGAAGACCAACCACCGCTCTCGCTGGTACCTGGAATGGTAGTGTATCCACCTGACGTCTCTGGTGGCGGGAGGCTGGTAGTTGGGGATGGAAGTGGTGGGGATGGCCAGGTTGGGATGGTTGGTGGTTCGCAGCCGAAATTAATCTTCGTGATAGCAACTGCGCAGACACTGACATGACTCGTGACTGAGAGACGGAAACCCACGCTAACAGCACCAGCACACTGTTCGTTAATGATGGTTTCACCAGCAGGTGAGCAGGTTGCAAACTGTCGGCATATAGAACCATCCTTCATGGTAAACTCGAGGACAATCTCGACTTTAACCTCAGCATGAACCACAAGAGAAGTAATGGTCAATCCACCGCTGGGCTTAGAGATGGTGGGGATGTTGTCTCCACCTGCTCCGAGCACAGCAGTGATGACCTTCCCAGTGACCTCCAAAGCCCCCTTAACAATCCCATCCACGCAAGTCCAGCCAGAGAAGTCGCAACCGCCGAAGAACTCGATGGCACCTTCAATGAGGTCAATAAAATCAAAGCCACCATGTTGTTCGGGTGTACAATCCGGAGGTTGGTTGCCTGGAACAGGGAAGCAGGCAGGAGGTTGTCCACCATTTCCACCCCAGCACTATTAACAATGTTAGTTATCTGCTAGATTAATGCCTTCTGGATGGACTTACGTCGCCGCCTCCTCCTCCTCCAATGATGCCACCACCTCCAATAATACCACCACCTCCAATGATGCCACCGTCACCATTTCCTCCGCAGTTGCCGTCAGGACACTGAGGAACACCACCGCCGCCGCAGTTTCCACCAGGGCACTGAGGCTCTGGTTCATATCCTCCACCACAGTTTCCACCGGGGCACTGAGCTTCACACTCGGGGCAGGGTGGTGGTTGATTGTACCCGGGGTCAACGGTTTGATCTCCTCCGTTGAAACCATCCCATTGACGGCGGACTAAGGCGCTGCCCTTGGTACTGCCGGTAGGGATGTAGGCAGCGCTGGCCTGCTGGGCCAACAGGAGCGCCAAGGCTCCGATAGAAGCCTTCATATTGAAAGGCGAGTAAATTGAGTAGCGACTGTGTGAACCAGATGTAGTAAAAGATTGTGTCCGTATGGGAAACGGTTAAACGAGGGGCGGCACTGACGTAATTCGAGCCAGCGATATTAAGATTAGAGTAGTAAGTAGCTATTATCTCTTGAGTAAAGAGATAAAGAGCCTTAAATAAACGAGGGTAGAGAACGAAGAGTATAAAAGGAGAAAGGGGAGGGGGGAGGGGGAAAGAGGAAAAAAGATGATGGAGAGAAGGACCAAAAGATCAGGGAGAATTGAGGGGGGCTTTGAGGGTCATTTAATATCCCACCAGTCCGGGTATACCAAGCGTGAAGACATGATATTTTCCCACCCTTCCGTTTTGCGTTGGAAGAGCGCCGCCCGCCTATGGGGGTGCCTGCGCTGACGGGGGTTGCCACGGCTAAGGAAAAAAGGGAGCGCAAGTTTTCTCCACAGGTGCTTCCTCTCGGTCAATGGTTTGTTTCGCGCTGCCCGGCTGAGAGTAAGTGTAGTATGAGTATCATCATGGGTATAGTTGGTATGGAGCGCTGTACTGAGTAGCGCTGGAGCCTAAAGTTCGCGCCAGGGTGGGCTGAACTGACAGGGGAAGCGAGGAGCTTGCATCAGTCCGGGTTGCAAATACAGCGTGTGGATGGAGTAACTATGGCATGACCTTGCCCTATCCCATAACGGGGTGAAGCGCCGGGGTGTTTTGGGCCATTGCCAAGCAGATTCACGGCAAAAGCAAAGAGCAAGCCATCCTCCAAGCAGAGCAGCGAGCTCGCCATGGTATCTCAATAACCGCCAGCGGCCATACAATCTAGAAGCAAGGGGGCGATTTCTGCTGGTTTGAGAGAGTGGATTATTGTTGCATGCATCAGCGTCCATTTCATTGCATATGGCTAATGCGCAGGGCTGGCTAGGGGCTATCTTCTTTCCCCTCTCACTCCCCCCTTTTTTTTCTGCTTCCAGAGCTCCTCGTCCGGCTAAATTTAGCATATTTGCACATCCACCAGGCAAGTCACCGAGGCTAAATGCCGCCGCGAGTTATGCTACTGGCTCAACCGGCAATGCGAGGCCCCCCGAGCTCTGCAGAGACCCTTTTCGAAACCGCCAGCCCCGACCTTCGCCCAACGCATCTGCGACGCACCCTGTCTGCAGCGTCATGCTGTCGGCCCCTGCAGCCTCCCGCCGGTCCTGTCTCTGCGTCCTCCGTACCGTCTGCAAGTACGGAGCATAGAGTAGTAGCTGTTGTTGTTGTTATCATCATTGTGTTGCTGTTGCTGTTGTGTTGCTGTCGAAGAGAAGACGTTGGAAGTTCCCCAAAAGGGGATGCTGACTCAGCAGGTACCTCCAGTGACTTCCGCCGCCCGCAAACTCGCCGCGCAGCCTCGAGTATATCAAAGTCACCGCTAGCCGCTCATCCACGACGCAGCTGGACGCTGGGCCAGTCACACGGGGCTTGTCGGCCGTCGAACGCGCGCTGCAGACGGGCGATCCAGCGGCTAGGAGATGTCTGGCGCACATCACAGGCGCACAGGTCGACTGCCCGCTCCGCACTCGGTTTCTATTTTTTGCCCAGGTTTGCTCCAGCTGGCACCTGGTATTGGCTCTGAGCTGGAGCTGGAGCTGGAACTGGGGGCCGGTACAGGTCGAATTGACTGCACTTGGTTACTTACTTCCACGGCTGGCTGGCGGGCGTGAATATGACTGCCACTGTGCTTTCGCGGAATCTCACGGGCAACGGTGCTCCATTCTGCATGGCCGCCTCTTGTTAGTTAGCGCCGGCCATCGCTTCTCCACCCAAGCAAAGCTTGATTCTTAGCAGGTCTCAATGTGAAACTGCGAAGAGGGGAGAGCAGGAGAAGGGAATGTTGGCATACATACTCCATTGCCACGCTGTACGACGGCTTGCTCTTCGTATGCTGCCTGTCAGCGTAACGCCTACGACACCTGTCTAAATCATCCATATTCTACCTGCGGATAATAACTACTGCTGACGATGACGTCCCGGAAATGGGCTTTTGTCTGAAGGGTGACTGAGAAAAAACAGGGACGAATGGCAGAAGGGAGCACTGATGTCGTACCGACATGGCTAGTTCACGGAGAATACTCGCCACACCTTGCGATCGGTCGTTAGGATCTCGTATCCTGACGAGAGCTCACATCCTCTCCACCGCTGCGGAAAACACCTTTTCTTGTGCTCAATAAACCCTGCCGGAAGAGTGGATTTTCCAAGGTTCCCAGCTCGGCGTTTGAGCCACAGCAGGGAGGAAAATCTCTGGGCCTTGGAATGCCTGAGGGAAAAGAGAGGGCGCCCCCCTATTAGTTCGTTCCTGAAACTTCTCTCTCTATAGTCGTTAACTCTAGGTAGATCAATGGGCCCCCCGGCCCAGCGGTGGTTCTCAGCAGAAACCTTCAACACAAGCCCAGACTACCAGAAAAAGACTTTCCCATCTTCCGAACACTCCTAGGACAGGTACCAAGCAGTGTAGCCCTGTTACTACCTGCACCCCTCTTCGGGCGGAGTTTCCCCGTGCTGGAAAAGCACGTTTCAACTAAGTACACAGCCACCCAACAATGGTCATGAAAATATCTTCGCTCTACTCTAGCTGTCAGAAGTACGCGAGTTGGATGGATAGCTTTTACCAGTGAAGAGACCGGTGTTCTGGCGTAAATATTGATTCAAGTACGGGGTATTCCGAGATAGTCTGTTCAAACCGGGGCCTGCAGGTTGTAGCATTCTGGATGCTTGAGCCAAATACACCCCTGCCTGGCCAGGGTATATCCATACAGTTTATACCTCTCCTTCTGTTGACCCGGCCCATCTTCGTGTGGAGGAGCCTTTGGTGCCTGGCAGAAAAGGTCGCACAGGAGACTTTACCCGCAACGTTTACTTGGCAGGGGTAACGAAGAGTTGCTTTGATTTGGTACCTTGGCTGTCGAACGGTAACTCTCTTTTTGACCCAAGCCGAAAGACATCCTACTTCAGCGTCTCTTTGTATTCTGAAATAATATCTTGTTGGGTCTCAAGGTCGAGAAAGGGCGCGTTTCTCGCTCTTCAAAGTGTGGACTATACTCCAGCACACATCTTCCATAAATATGCAGTATTGCCTGGGTTTCTTGGGTTCCGGAGTCCCCGAGCTCCCCTGGAATAGGTCTCACCAGCAGACCCGCCATTCCTATAGTGCAAAAATAGCCCCTTATACTTGACCGACGACCGATTTATTACTTATTACATTTCTCTTATACCCGCATATAAATAGACGGTCTGTCATACCTATTTCATCGAATGAATGGATTTCATAGTGCCCTGCTTCTTCCAAACGCTGCTGCATCTGCAGTAAATTATTATGGTCCAGCCCCATGGACTCCCGGTGTAACTACTTAAAAACGTAGATGCATTCACACATGTGATCCACAGCCAGGTCATGCATCACGAGTGCACGCTCCGTACACAACGGCTGGCAGACTTAACCCCTAGTGTAGTAGAAGGTCCAGGGGTTGCAGTTAATGTCGCAGCGGCGTCTTCCAATCGGCCTTTAAAAGGGGTTCGGCTTTCCGCTGTTCAACTTCGCCATTTCTTCTGCCATGTACTTAGCTACCCCCCATAACAAGCAGGTAGAAAAAAAAAAATTCTTTTCTCACCAAACAGAAAATTCTCCGAAGAGTTGAAACAGGAAGCATCAGTTAAATAAAGGGGCTTCAGAGTGGACATTCTTGCAAGACACCCTCCCTCACAGTCTTGGGACTGTTCGGCTTTCGGCACCTTCCAACATAACAGCTTCCTTGATGTCATGGTCTCCTCTAGCTAAAGGTGAAGCTACCAATCAGGCCAGACCGCTATGGAGTCCCGGCTGTTCAGGGTGAGACGAGGCAACGCGAGGTCTTACGGAGTACTCGAGACACGTAATAATGTGCTTTTGCGAGTACTTAGTATCGTTGTTATTCCTGGAGACCCCAACCCTTCGAAAGACAGGAGTAATTATATGATTGGGATCATGGAGAGGAGCGAGAAGAGAGGAACTTGACAGCTCTCTTAAGAGGCCGCCGTACGGAGTAGTTAATACAACATTCACATATTCTGTCAATCCACGCAAACTCAAAGGTCGTATGGATCCATCAGCTTCGGTAGCCGGTTTGGCCAGTCAGCCTCCCAGCCGGATGCATGTGCGGCGAGAGTATATTCCTGGTAGCCAGGGTACCATCCAGCCTCTTCCCAGTCAATCGGAGTAACCTCATATTTCCAGTCTTTCCTGCTTGGGTTATGAACTCCCTTCTTCTTGACAATGATATTCTTGCATTGTAGATCTGCTTGTGTGAATGCAAACTTGTCTCATGAATGCAGCTCTCTCTTTCGGACTGCGAGCGGTGTAACTGAGAATCATTGCCTCATTCAAGTCCTCTTCGATCTCGACCAGTCCGTTGATCGCTGGATTTGGCTCCACGCTACCGAACATCATGGTCCGGAAAGGCTAACGTTCGAGGAAGCTGTGATATTTAGGAGATGGTGAAGAGCGTAGTTCTATGAAGTAGTTAGTCCTTGTGCCCTTTTTTTCGTCGATGATGAGCGTGTCCCAACATGCCTTCGGTGTTTGACCGTCGATTAATTTCATGCTCATATAATTCACTTCAACTCCAGAGTCAGAGTCCTCAATTTCAGCGTCATGCATGGTGTACAGAGCATAACTTAGGAACCCGGACATTGGTGAGCGTCCTTATGAAGATGGTATTTAGGCCTCCTGGAAAAGGAGAACTGCACAGCTGGGCCATATTTAACCGCGTGTTTGTCATCTATTTGGACTATTTTTGTATCTGCACGCTGTGAAAGAAGGGGAGCATTATAGATCTGAGCTTGGGTAGGAAGAGGGCCAGGGAGATCTGGGGCCGTATATGGAATATCAACAAGCGTCTCCACCAATATAGGCCGATCAGATATCTCGCATTCTGAACTAGCTCTAGATTGACTACTAGATATCCGAGTATTAAGGATAGTTATTGTGTCTGATGGTCATCAAGTGACAATCCTCCACTCGATGTCCGCTGAAAGAGCCGCATTGCAAGGCTGAGCTTTGACGAACTCTGACCAACCTTATTGATATCAACAGCCACGCCATGAAAGACCGCGTGGTTCATTCAAGTGCCAGCTTCCCATTGTTACTTGATACGAAGATATCCTAACAGATACTACATTCACCGCTACCTGGGCAAGTAAATATCATAGTTAACCATCTAGTAATTTATTATTTAAGTGATATGTTGGGTTGGTCATATTCCTAAGCAAGTGGCTGCCAGATCATTTCCCACTCAATGCATTTACTGACTTGAACATGCCTTAGACAAAATATCACGAGCTTTTTACTTCTGTTCAGTCAAGCTATATACAATTGACACATTGGCTAGAGTATACTGCGAGCGTAAGAAGGTTACTAACCTTCTATATTTACATACAGAGGCGGCGGCTAACTGCACGAACAGTGTATCTCCGTGTCCAAATCAACATTCTTCTGTGGCTCTGTTGAAGACCATAGAATTTGATGAAATTTTAAGGTCCATACATGCATCAGTCAACTGGACATCTATATTCTCCCTGAAAAAGGCCACTATTCTTATTTGACCAACTATATCAACTATATCCCAGCATCGATGGCGTGGGAGGACGTACCCCTGATCAACAGGAAGACTCGGAAGACATAGAGAGAAATTGGGATTACCGCATTCCATCTTCGAGAAATCAACGTTTCCCAGGCCCCTGGTTGTATAGGAAGGATTCAAAGGAGTATCCACTACGATATTTAAATTGATCAAACCCGCCTCTTCTGAATATGATAACTAGCAATAACCTAACCATCGCTATCTCCAATGAAGCCGCCAAACTATGTATACAGACCATCTATATACAAGCATAGCCGGGGGCAGCCGTATCAAAGAGATATCCTTGTCCAATAACTATCTAGTAAAACTGTATGCTGCAGTTTTGCTACGCCATTTTCAGATGACTGCAGGAAATAGCGGGAATATCGACTCACTCAGGGATAACACTCGTCAGGGCGAGGACAACTTCCTGTCCATACTTTTACGTCGGCTACGTACAATCCACTAGCAAACGCAAGGCCCTGTGTACTCCCCAGGTTTTCTACCCAGCCCTCAAATCGGTACAGGATATCTCGTATAAAAACCCTATATTCTTCACCTTCTCACCCCTCACCCGGCTAACAACGATAGATCAAGTCCCATGAAGCCACCCTACAGGGTATAACCGAGTTGCTTACGACTCATGCAACCACCACGTCCGCTTTTTTGAAATCAACCAAGCCACTTGCCGAGCCTAAGAAAGACATGTCTACGGAACTCTCTCAACGAGCTTTCATTCGAGACCAGGGAGAAGGAGGAAAAGCCAGATGAGACTGTTTCGCCCCAGGGTAAAAAGAGCTCCCTGGAATACTGGGGTTACTTGGCTTCAAAGACGTGTGCGCTTCTACATCTTCTTCCGAAAAGGCAGTATGATGGTACGGTAAAGATTGACTCCAACGAGCCCCGATATGCTTGTCAGGACTGGGTAGATGATGCCGTCAAGGTCGTTAGGGCGAGGGGATATCTGAAATGATTCCCCTTTCTTGCCAGCGGTTTAATTGCTAGGGATTGTACGGAGTAGTTGCGCAGAACTACCTTCTTAGCCCACAGTCCACAATATCAAGAATTCCTGCGATACCATACCAAGCGTTTCTCCCGAGCTTGTTGCCTCCCTCGCCGGAGTTTTGAACCGTGATCAGTGCAAGGACAGGCCGTCTTCGTTCCGCAGAAACAACCGTCCTAGCTTTCCACGGCGATGGAACGATCCACGGATTCCAGACAGTAGCTTGCCCCTGACTAGCCGAGCTAGCCAGCAGCTAACTACACAAACACAAAGTTGCTACAAGATTGCAGGGAGTCGTACATACATATGCATGCCTCTCCAGATTCAGATCCAATGACAGACTCCCCTGTTAACTCAAATCGCATCCATGGAAGGCTATTCTACATATACGACCTGCATATCTGATCACCTCCTGGTCCAAACGATAGCCCCAAAAGACAAAACATGGACACACGGGCTAGTTAGGCGTTCGAGGAGCCGAAGAAACATTGCTCTACTCCGTACGGAGCACTGGCGAACTCGTTAACTAGTTGACTGGTTGACTGCCTAGCGAAAGTCAACCCCCTCTCTGCTTGCCCACGGAGTACTCCATATGCGGCGATGGCTTCACACCGGGGACGTGAGGGGGGGGTCAAACAAGCCGTGCCCTCTCGTGACGAAGCATCTTGTCTAAAAGGAACACTGAGAGCAAGGCCAGTGCTTCATCAGCCCATACTTGCCTTGCACTCGCTCCGGATCTCCGGTATGCATCATGTGCGTGTACGGAGCATCATCTTCAATCTTCATCATACTATCGATTGATTGAGGTAAATAAACCACACCACCTTTCAAAGGCAGATCCCATTCTCGTGTTCGTCTGAGAGACTTTTGCCCCTTGCTGACGAACTCCTGTTGTTGGCCGTCCAAACTCGCGCTTCGGTCAAAAGGGCCAGGGGTGTGTTTTCGATCACGGTATGTTCTGATCAAGAGCACATGTGCCGGCTGGGCATAAGCTTGGATAGCGAGGACGTTGGCGAGACCAAGAGGCCAAGTCAGGCTGTTTTGCTCTTCCTGTTTTATGTCCTGTTATATCCGAGTTCTGACCGTCTGTGGGCTGTTACGTGAACATGCTTAGCTCGCAGGACAAGGGAAGGACAAAAGGAGATGTGGAACGAGATCGTGATATGGGGGTTCTCGAAACCAGGGACGCCTTCTACGAACTATGGACCAAATGACAGGGAAGTTGGCAAGATCCTCTCGCTCAGCAATCAAAGCTCGCGCGTGTTAAGCACTATGACATGATATCAGCCGCGCGGAGCCGGAATAATGGGAACAAGAAAGGAGGCAAGCAAAGGAAACTACGGCGAGCCATGAGCCTGGATAAGAAATGCGTGGCTATTAGAATAATTATAAGACGACAAATGAGATGAAGTCCTCAAACAGGGTCAAACAACTGAAGGTCAAAGAAGAGAACAGTGACAAACGGTAAGCAAGAATTTTGACGTCATATAACTTTTGTCATGATCAAAAACAGTAAATCAAGTTACAATACTATACTTCTTTTTGGGAGGCCATAATGGTATATAATTTCCTTCCAGTTGGCTCCTTCATAACGGGTGTCCGATTGTCCTTTTTCCATTTTATTTTTATTTTATTTTTATTTTTTTTCCCTTCGTTCCTTGTTTTCTTTTCTATCGTTCAATTAGTCGGCGACACTCGAGGCGCTCGACAGACACTTATCACAAAACACTAGGCAGACAATACTCGTCAATGGAGTATACGTAAGTAACACCATAGCACATGCGAGTATAAACAATCAAGACATAATCATATAGTGAGAAGGCAACAGAAAGGGAAAACAGAGGGTGGCAATATCGTTATTGTGTTCGTGTATACCTTTGATATGTGCTTTAGTTCATCCACAACATTCAGGCAGGTATATCGATCACAATGCAAACAGTAAACAAGGGATGGGGAGCTTATTTATTTATTTTTTTCGGGAGAAGATCATCAGTGATCATGTAATGTGATATAATATGACTGAAAAGAACTGAAGCAGAAGTTGGAGGGAGCCAATTAAAAAATATAGTTATTCAACTGAACATCGAAAAACATCAATTCTGACACTGACAGCACATCGGATAGATAGATGAGTAAGACACGTATTGTGCGGCGCTACTGTGGCGCCTGTGTGTGTGTGTGTGTCTGCGCCTGCGCTTGTGTAGCTAGTAATATAGCGGGCAAGAGGGGAGAGGTTGGTGATCCATTGCCATGTTTATCGGTTTTGCCTGTAAATCGACTTCGATTGTGTCGTTGCGGATACATATGATTCCCTTTTCAATAAGCAACAGTGTTTCTTCTGCTGCGATGTGAGTCTACCAGCTTTCTCCGGACAGCCTCACTGCCAAGGTACGTGCTCGCCTGTCTCTTTCTGGTGGGAGTGCGAGGATTCGAGCGTTTGAAGGCACTTGCAGGCTGAGATGGAGAATTTGCAGGTAAAAACTCCCTGTGATGGGGGAGACGGATCAGTGCCTGGTATCTATTATGATTGCGGCGGAAGGCAGTGACAATGCCGCGATCAAGGTGGTTGAGAAGTCGTTCAGCACTGCTGGCCTGTGTAGGGGTCTCGTCGTTGTCTGTTGCAGTACCAGAAGGACGTCTAGGTGTTGGTGTCTGACAACCAATAGTAGATGTAGCAGCTGGGGAAGTTGGTTCGTCCGAGTCATCCCTTTCATCGTCAGACGAATCATCGCTGAAGTTGATGAAGTCATCGACGTTAAGCATAGCTTCGCTGTCATCCTCGTCTTCATCGAAACTAGCATCCATCAAGTAGCCGTTGGTAGGATAGAATGCCTCCGGAGGGCCCGTGACCTGGCCTACCGAGTCATTTCCCAGTGCACTCATCATAAGGTTGGCATTGGAGCTTAACATAGGGCTCATGTCGGTGTGACGAGGAGATACCAGTGCATCGGTATCACTGTCGTCGACATTGTGCATCGTACTAGTACGAGGCGAGTTGTTGGCAGTGTTAGCCAGGCTACCGGCAGCTGATTCGAGCCACTCATGGCGGGAAGATGCATATGGAGGTATAAGAATCAGCTGTCTGCCGTTGGGAGCAACGACAGCAACTGGTTTGTGTGGATCAGCAATGAAGGTTCCTCTCAGAGGTCCTCGCTGAGGAACACAAGAGTCAGCCTTGTTTTCCTCATCCCCGGAGAGTGAGGCACTCGACTCTCTGCGGAGAAGGGACCTTGGATGAGTGATGGTAGCCAGGGGAAGGTAATCCTCCTCATCAGTGGTTTCACCATCATCAGCTGCAGAGAGGAACAGGCGAGAGTCAGTATATGAGAAAAAAGAAATATTTTAGAAAAAGAAACGACAAAAAATAATGTGATCTGCTTCGTGGAAGAAGCAACAAGGAACCTACATTCATAGCCACTCGAGCTTCCCATCGAGTTATCGGACTCCTCCACATGATAGATGTTATCAGGCAAGTCACAGAAGTCACTGTTGACAAACAGATCAAGGGAACTTTGTGATCGCCCAGGAGTGGAATCCGTCTCGATCATGCGTCGTAGATCAGGGTCAAGTTGATCCTGATGTAAAAAGTCGGGAAATAGCTCATCTTCATCACTAGATTTATCAGAGTCGGACGAGTCATCCGTCTCAAAGTGAACTCGTCGTTGAACAGGTGTCTCAGCCGCCTCGCTGGTCATTCCTGCATCAACGGCGTCACTGTGTCCTCCAGACTGTAGGAGAAGATGCTCATCATCGAAGAAAGAGCCAGCAGAGTAGAATGGACGGTGTTCAAGGTCATCCAACCCCGTCCATTCGTCCCCTCCGCTGACACTACCGGCCAGCCTGCTTAACGTAGACCTTTCATTTTCAGATTCCAGAATGATCTCCTCTTCGATTTTCTCCAGCATCAACTCTTCGTCTTCACCATCACTGACTTCATCAACACCCTGATAATCATCAGAGTCGTCGGAATCGTCGATATCACCGGGGCTAACAGAGCCAACAGAGCTGACCGAGACTGCATCTTCATTAACATCCTCGTCAGCAGCAGCATCCTGCTCACCCTTCAGCTTCCTGTCCTGCAACAAAGAAATCCCACCAGTACGCCCCGTCTTATGGCCAAGTCGTTTCTTGCCACCATAAGACGGGGCAAACGCTGCTGGGGTGGAATCTTCATCATCATCTTCACTCGAGTCCCCGCCATCTTCGTCGTCGTCGTCTTCGTTACCAGAATTCATATCTTCACTGGATGAATCATCACTCGAGATAGAAGGCGGCGCTCTGCGTTTGTTGTTTTTCTTCAGCCTAAGTTTGAGCTGCGACGAACGGGATTTTCCGCTAATGGTTTGGCGGCGCTGTTTTGAACGAGACATGGACGACGATGGCCGAGATGTCTTTACCCCGGAACGACCCATTGTCGATCTTTTGTCCTTGATCACCCTCCTTTTCTTTTGCGTTATCAATGTTGGAGGGAGGGAAAAATTTTCCCTTTTTGATCTCAAGATTTTTTTAAGGTTTGTTGTAGGTGGGAATTTGATCTTGTCGAAGGAGCCTCGATACACCTGTTTAAACAGCCAAAAGAGGATAGGAAAATATAGTATCGGGGTACTATATTCAGCCGTGTAGAGTAGGGGAGGTGACAACGGCTCGGAGGGGAGATATAGTAGAATGGTAGAAATGTGGTGGTGGAGGGGTCTTTTTTCTTAGAGAAGGCGAAAAACGGTCGAGGAAAAAAAAAAAAAAAGAGCTGCGTCTACAACGATAATAATAAATTGCAATCAAGAGGGGGCAATTCCGACGCACGAAGCAGAAGTCGTCGAAAGAGTTATCTTCAAATATCGTCGAGGTCGATTTGGTAGAATCTTTCTTCTTTCTTTTCTTGTTGTTTGAACTCGTTGGACTAATCTCGGGCTGGGGGGTCCCTTAGAGGGTACGATGCCCCCCCAGCAGGGAGAATTTAGAGCCCAGCGACCGCCATGTTGGCAAGAAGAGAAAAAGGGCAATCGACGATATTTGGTACGGGTGGTGGTCTCTGTGTCTGGTGAAGGGGTGCTTGTCTGCGAGGAACGACGCTGCTCTGGCTTGTCGTGAAGTTGGTGAAGTCGAAAGGTGAAAAGAAGAAAGAAAGTCGATGATGAAGAAAAAAAGAAAGGCAAAACGCAGGGACCACCCTCTCGATTCCTCTTTTGGTAAAGATCGGCACGACGAGGCGGTCGGCGACGGAGAAACGTAAGTCCGGCGTATTTTCTGCCGCTCGGAGAGTCTTGGCGTGGGCTTCCACTTTCGGAAAGCGGTGATTGGTCAGCCTCTTCCTCACCGTCTTTTACTGCCAGAAAACTTATTTGCACGTGACCCCTGTTTTGCCCCGTCGTTGGCTTTTTCTTTTTGATATTCAGCTCGACGTCATGCATCGAACGAGACGGAGCGCTAGTTAGTTAGTTAATATTACATTGTTACTCCGTACAGGCGATGGATTGACGGGTTTACATACATAGTTACTACAGAGTCGTCTCTTCTCTGATGGCCCCCTTTAACTACGGGGTACGAAAGACTTCCTTCTGATTTAGAAGACCGGTCAGCGAGATGGCATTTCATCTTGCAGGAGACTGACCAGGGGCCCTGCATCCTCAAGCATCAGATCCTGTCTGGGGAAGCTGGCGCGAGACATGTTACTCGTTCCGCCTGGTACCAGGGCCTCTTCACACGCATCAGTCGCTAGTCCAGATTGGTACATACGGACCACGCCAGGTTCGCCCACTCTGCACTCCGAACAGCATACATCACATTCCGTGCAGCCTTCCCCCCAGCTTCACGAGTGGGATGAGTCGATGGCAGTTTTCGTTTGCAGGGAAGAAAAAGGAAAGGAGCAAGAAAGAGGAGACTTCGTTTTCCGTCTTCCATGCACGACTCCAACCAGCGACGAAGGCTACCAAAATCCACTACTGTGATAAGTCCCACAGTACTCCGTATGACTGTATAAATACGGAGATGGAGTTGGAGATGGGGCCCTTTTTCTGCCTTTTCCGCCTTTTTTTCTTCCACTTCTACTCTTTCTAACCGCCCGTATTTTCACTCCCCGGTCTGAAAGTGGGATTGCAATTCCATCTGCTCCATGCATACGATACGTAAGTATGTTGTGGGAGACAAGAGGTATGTAACATGGGGCAAGGATTGTGACTGCAATGACGATAATGATGTGCATAATGTACTGGATCTTGCTGTTGAGATGTGAGATAAACAGCGCTAGCTAGCCATACATCGACAGCGCAGCGATTGCTCGTTTCTATCACCACGCAAATAGACGGAGTCATGATTACGTAGGAGAAGTCATATAGACGTCATAAACCGGCACTTAGTATTCGTTTTAACAACAGTGAATCGACTATCTCCAATTATATTATTAACTAAAAAATTGACAAAACTCTGGACTGGAACCGAAAGAAGCTAAACGAAACCGCACACACCCGACCTTGTCTCTATCATCTGTCTCATCTCAGAATCGAAGTATGCACGTACAGGCCTGCTGCAGGTAGCCGAGATTATTCCGCACATGCAGAAGATATAGAATGCTGTGCGCTATGCATAATTCCAGCTTTCCTCGCTCGCTTGCTAGGGAAGATGTTTCAACCTTTCCTCTCCTGACGTGTTCAACCGATGCGTTAAAAATAGTATTTACCTTGCTAACCCTTTCCACATCACAAATATACTTATTACCTCTAAACTGATCCCCTGATGTGGTATTTCCGCCTTCCATACTCTCAATGCCATTCCTTGCTCTGCATGGTTCAATTGGCTCCCGGAAGGCTATACCTTCACATTACCCTCTTCCTTCGTTTGACGTGGTTCCTTGTCTGTTGCAGCTCCTTCTGAGGTGGCAGTGGTCGGGGCTTCGATCTGCGTCGTTGCAGCCGGCACTTGACCCTCCACCTGCCTTGTGAGTTGGGCATCACTTTCGGTGTTTGCTACCGCCCCTGTGGCTGCTGCTGGTGCTCCCACGGCCGCAGGCGTCGTCGACGGCGACGCCTCGTCTGTGACATCGATCACCCTAGCTTCCTCACCTTCTGCTTTCTCACCTTCTCCGGCCATGCTAGCTTCTCTCGCAAGCCGCTCCTCACGGCCGCGCTTGTGGCAGTACCATAGAACCATAAGTAGAACTAGTTTTATTATTAGCATGGTTAGTTAAGTAAACCAGTAAAGTAGCGCAGGTCCACCGAGGTTGATACATACTGAACAGCCCCAGAGACCAGAGAACATTCATTCCAATCAAAGCAGGGAGCCTCGCACGTAAAAATGCAATGATAGACCGGAGCAATCCCGCGAGGGCTGCAGGCTTTCCGGCCAGCTCCTTCAGGTTGGGTACTTCAATGCCTATCTTCTTTGCCGTGCTGGTCGCCTTGTCTACATGCTGCATGTTGATACCACTCTTGCTCGCTCTAGCTGATGCTGCTGCAAGGATCTCTGGCGCAAACTTCTCCGTCATCTTGTTGGGCAGCTTTTCGACAAGCTTCTGAAGAAAACTAGGTAGCTTGGTATAACTCTTCTGTAGCTCCTGGTCGCCATTCGTGAGTAGCGACTCAAGGTCACGATACGCCGTTGGTACTCCGTTGACCAGGTCTTTGAACACTTGTTTGAACTGTTCTAGAAGCGCCTGTGTATCGCTACTAATCGAAAAGACGCGGTTGTTGACAGCTGCCAGGTTCAATTGCTCAAGAACTTTGGATAGATCTTGATCCTCCTTTCTCTCCTCCTCATTCTTTCCTTTACCGGCCCCTTCGCCGCTCGACTGGGTATCATCAGCCACTTTACCCTTCCCCTTGTCTACTTTCTCAGTTTCTCCCATCCACTTCCTATCTTTAAGCATCCCCCACAGGCTCTTGCGTGACTTGTGTCCTTTCTCCATCTTCTTTTGATCAGTGGAGACAGAAGACGCAGTGGTGGCGGTAGGCTCAGTATCAGGAGCATCGAGTTTCTCCTGCGAGCCTCTATCCTCAGCCAAACGCCTCAAGTCATCGTCCAACGGCTCATCAACAAGTTCCCTGCCTTGTTCATCTTTGGATCCTCCAGGTTTTTTGTCACCGCTATCACTTCCCGATATAGACGAAGAGGTTGCAACATGGTGTAGGAATGCCTCGTCCTCATCCGTCAGGACAGGACCATGTGTTTCTGTTGCTGGCGTTGGTGTCGACTCTGTTTTCGCCACTGGTTTCCTCCTAATCGATTTCATGTATTGCATTGCCATGGTGTCCTGCGGGTAATATAAACAGCAGGGCAAGAAGGTGATAGTAATAGAGTTGGATATGGATATGGGTATGGGTATCTAGTGAACTTATTGTGAATCTAACCAAAACACAGGGGTGAATAGAGTCGATTGCGCGGTGATGATCAGGACATGTCCTTCGTCAATAAAAAGATAGCTTGGAGTATTTAGAATGAACCTGCGAGGATGGCAGCGATAAAATATATGCCCTGTACTATTGTCCCCTTTGTCCTCCAACGTCGCTAGTCTTTGACCTTCAGTTGTTGATGTTGGTTTTGATGACGAAGACAAGTTTCGGAGAGGGGAGTGTTGCCAAGACAAACTGCGACTAAGCCGCTTTCGGTCGGTGCCAAGTATCAGAGCAACAACACTCCAGGTGGAAGAACACAAGGCAAAAGCCATCAATAGGAACAATGAAGAGCGCTAGACTATATAGTAGTCGGCTTCCTCCCGACTACTATGTCGAAGTAATTTGCTGTTCGCCAAATTACTATCTCTCTTGCAGCATACCTTCTCCTCAACTACATCGTCACTCTAGGTCTCTAGAACACCTTTTCTAGAATTTCCACCTTCTCTACTCTATCTCAAAACACCAGCCGTACCAACTGTCTGGTACAATGGCTCCTCGCAAGGCTAAACCCGCTCCCAAGAGTGTCCCACACAAGCGTGCTGGCCGAGGAGCTGTCCAAAAGACCAGGGCCCCAAAGAAAACCGAGTCATCTATTTCCAACACCATACCCAAGCAGAGGCTCAATGTTTACGTATTTGGCTCTGGCAGCAGTGCTGAGCTTGGTCTTGGCCCAAAAAATGCAATCGACGTCAAAAGACCACGTCTGAATACCAACCTCGATGCAGAAAAAGTTGGAGTCGTTGATATTGGCGCTGGAGGCATGCATGCAGCTGCTTTGACACACGATAACCACATCCTGACCTGGGGTGTCAATGACAACTGTGCCCTTGGACGCGAGACTGCCTGGGACGGCGGTTTAAAAGATATGGCCGACGATGACGAATCTTTTGCAAGTGATGAGGTTGAACTCAACCCACGAGAGGCCATTCCCACAGCCATTCAAGCCATTCCACGTGAGAAGTTTCCAGAAGACACCAAATTTTGCCAAGTAGCTGCAGGTGACAGTGCTACTTTTGCTCTGACTGAGGATGGATTTGTTTATGGATGGGGCTCATTTGTGGTATGTTATATTCGTTTTTTCCTCCTATTATGTCAAGCTACTTCTAACACGTTTTCTGCTAGACTACCGAGGGAGAACGTGGATGGTGGAACGGAGAGCTTATCAAAATGCAATTGGACCCAGTCATGATACCTGGCCTCGAGAAAATCATTCAAATCAGTGCTGGCAACAACTTCTGCCTTGCTCTTGATCACAAGGGCAGAGTATTCTCCTGGGGTCGTCCCGAGCAAGACCAGCTGGGCCGCCATATTAGAGTTGATCGCCGCAAGACTGCTGGTAACAAGAACGCGTCCATTGACAAATTACGCAACGACATTGGCCTTATTCCTGGCCTCGTCGCTTTACCAAAAAGCAAAAGAATTATCTCCATCCATGCAGGCAGCGATCATTCCTTCGCCATCGACACCAACGGAGATACTTGGACCTGGGGCCTGAATAATTTTGGACAAACTGCCGTTAACGTGGGAGCTGGAAAAGGTGGCAGCACCATTGTTCGACCACAGAAGGCAACAATGCTTATTGGTCAAAAGATGAAGATGATTCAAGGCGGACGTCATCATTCCATTGGTATCACCCAAGACGGCCAGTGTCTTGTCTGGGGTCGCATGGACGGCGCTCAAATGGGTATTGACCACAGCACACTCCACCTTGATGACCCACAGATTGTTATCTCCGAACGTGGAAAGCCGCGTATCCTCCTTGAGCCCACTCCACTTCCCATTCCAAACTGCGCCTTTGCTGCTGCAGGGTCCGATCACAATGTTCTTATCACTTCTGAAGGAAAGGCGTATACGTGGGGTATCAACGCAACTTACCAATGTGGCCAAGGGCCTGACACGGACGACATCCAAGTCGCAACCAAGATTGACAATCCTTCTCTCCGTGAGAAGGTGTTCTCCTGGGCCGGAGCAGGCGGCCAATATTCAATTCTTGCTTCGATGCATGTACATGAGTCTACTTGATA